GACTAATAGGACTTAGTCAGAATACTTACTTGGACAAAGTACTAAAACGCTTTAGTATGGAGAATTCCAAGAAAGGGGAGTTACCGATCCAAAGTAATGCCTAGTTGAGTAAAACTCAAAGTCAGCGTACCGAAGCCGAGATAGCAGAGATGAGCCGAGTACCTTACGCTTCCGCAGTCGGCTCGATCATGTATGCTATGACCTGTACTCGCCCTGATGCGGCCTTCGCTTTGAGCATGGTCATCAGATATCAAGGGAACCCTGGCAAAGCACATTGGACCGCAGTCAAGAATATTCTTAAGTACCTTCGGAGGACCAAGGAATGGTTCCTAGTCCTCGGTGGGAGTGATGAATTAAAGGTGCGAGGGTACAGTAACGCTGGTTTTCAGACCGACAGGGACAACTACCGTTCGTAGTCGGGCTAGGTCTTTACCCTTAATGGAGGAGCAGTGACTTGGAAAAGTTCCAAGCAAGAGACCGTAGCTGATTCAACGTGCGAATCAGAGTAAATTGCAGCGAGCGAAGCATCAAAAGAGGCAATGTGGCTGAAGAATTTCATTGGAGACCTTGGAGTTGTGCCAGCCATACAGGAGCCCATGGAAATTTTCTGTGATAACGAAGGAGCGGTTGCCTTGACCAAGGAACCGAGGGATCATGGTAGATCTCGACATATCGACAGAAAATATCACTTTATTCGACATCAGGTAGAAGAAGGACTCCTCGTAGTGAAGATGGTATCATCAGAAGATAACCCAGCATATCCGCTTACGAAGGGACTGAGTAGGGTTAAGCACTTGCAGCACGCTAGGAGCATCGGGCTGAAGGACGATATAAGTTTAGATTAGATAGTTTAGAAACGTGTAATAGATAAATTGTAATTAACATTCGATGATTAAATAAAAGAGTATTATTTATTAGTAATGTTATTGTCTTATGTTAATCATTTACCTATTGTTTCATTTTGCATGTTTTGACTTCATGAATAATTGAATTATTTGATAATAATCGAATTATTCAAACGGTCCACAGTCGTTCATATGTTGGAAGTAGATATGAATGAAGACTGTCATGAATTGGTGTGTAGATTGTCTAAAAGTGTATTAGACATAGCAAAAGTTTGCTACAACGTTCATGAGTGCTTATGAACTAGATTTGAGCATTGGAATAAACCCATGCTAGCTGGAATCGCTTCATGGAATTCATCACGAGTGATCGCAAGACGGTAATATCATATGGTCTTAAAACCTAGATATATGGTTTATTGTTTGTTAATTGGTTGTGCATTGATAATGCGTAAACGCATCAGTAACTTGATGTTATAAAACGCATTGTTGTGTATGATTTTATTAGTGGATAGTAAATGCATATAAGTCGAAGTTTATCTGTTCCTTTTATCCTAAGAGGGTAAAAGCTATATCAGGGCCCCTCGATGATTTGATTTGACTTATGTGCCGAGCCCGGTCAAGACTGAATTGATATGTTCAATTAAGTTCTATGTCAAATGAATCCGAGATCGAGAAACTAACTGCTGGACAATAAGTATGACTATGTTCCATGTAATTGTTCGCACGATATCTAGAACAAAGGATTATACGATCCCTTATCTAAAGGACATGTTACTGATAAGATCAGAGTTCGACATCGTCTTTGAAAGCTACGATTGCTAATCGGATTAGGCTTGCATTTGTAGTTACTAGACTTATCCAAGTGGGAGACTGTTGGATTAGTGTCTAAGCCCGTAACTATATTTGGTAAGTACTTGACCCAGTTGTGCATGGTCCTTTTGGGTTGCCTTCACCATAGCAACTTGACAAGGTGATTTATGAAGAGAGAGAATATATTATGGTTTATTAATATATTATGTGAATAATATATTAAAGGAATAATCATATTATTTAATTAATATTATTAGTCATGGATTAATTAAGAATTAATTTGGTGACTAAAAGAGATTAATTAAATATAGGGGACTGAACTGCAATTATTGGATAATTGAGTTATTGGGCTGGGAAACCCAATGAAGCAAGGGTGTGAACGAAATTATGATGGGAGTCATCATATTTTCGTCCATGGCCTTAATCCAGAAGGTTCCATGGGCTGCTTGATGATTAAGTTGTCCATTAGGGTTTTGGCTGAAACCCTAGAAGCTCACAGTATAAATAGATCCCTTGGGTTGTGGAAATCGGCTACACTTGCTTCCTTGCAACCCTAGAGCCGATTTTCTACCTCTCTCCTCTCTCTCCAAATCATCCTCTTGCTAGTTGGTGTTTGTAAGCCATTAGAGGAGTGACAATTGTGACTCTAAGCTCCAAGACAAGAAGAATCAAGCAAGCTACACGAGGTAATCATCTAGATCTGAGTTTCTTATGTCAAATTCGAATTATATACACTAGATCTAGGGTTTTCAAGACTTGGATAAATTGCATGTTCAATAGAGAAACCTATATCCAAGCATTAGGGTTTGCATGTGCACATAGGAAAGTTCTTATGGCTCAAACCCATCACATCAGACTTGTGAAATAATGGAAAAGCCACACACAACGAGAGAAATCATCAATTATAGACAGATAAAAACGATGACCATTCATAGGCTGAACCGGGGAAGGACCCGAAACATCCAGATGAATCATATTAATAGGATGAAGGGCATTAAAATTCCTAGTAACAAATGCTAGTTTAGAAGATTTTCCCATAGGGCATACATGAAAACTATGTGTTTATGAAAGTTTGCCATTTATTGGTAATTTAAACTTGTTGCAAAGAACTTTAAAGATATTAAAAGAAGGATGTCCTAAGCGATCATGCTAAGTGTTGGCAGTTGACCGTTCGCCTAAGAGAACAACTGGATTATGAGAAATATTTGGATTGAATGATAGTTGATAAAGACCTCGAATGTCCTTAACAAGAAAACCACGTCTGAATGTCCTTAACAAGAAAACCACACCAATCAAGTTAAAAAAACAATTATTATCCTTTCATAATTGACGAATGGATGATAGAGGTTTGTGAAAATTAGGAATAAACAAAACATTGTTCATCTTGAAAGACCGATTTTCATGAAGAAAAGAAGATTTACCAATGTAAGAGATAGCCAAGCTTGTGCCATTACCCAAAATCACTAAATTTTTACCTGTATACGGTGAATACTCAGAAAAGTTGGAGCGATCTGGTGTCATGTGGCTCATAGCACCCGAGTCCAACACATATGGTTCAGATTGTGAGAAGTATGTAACATTTTTACGTTGTGCACAAACTCTAGCATCATGTCCATACTGATAACACAATTGGCATGGAGCATCTTGATCAGGAAAATAACCCAGCTTAAAAGGAGTAGCAAGAATTCCCCTTCCATGAGGATTTCCTCTTCTAAACGAACCTCTTGTGCGACTACTACCACGTCCACCTCTATTATTTCGACTATTTTGACTGTAACTGTTGTTCCACTGTTGACCCCCCCAATTACCTCTCCCCTGATTTCCGACTCTACCAGAGTTAGAGTTACCATCACCACGGCTCCCCCGATTTCTATTCCCGTTTTTATTGGGTCGAGATGATGATTGAGGTTGAGAAGAAGAGGTTTTAGCTGTAGTTAGGGTTGTGGCCTGTTCAACTGGGATTGCAAATTTTTTCTGTAACATTTCTTCCTTAAGAAACAATTCTGTCAGGTCATCAAGATTGAGTGACTACCGAACATATGATGAGGATGTGGAGGTGAAAAATTCTTTGAACTCGGCACCAAGACCACAAAGAATTCGTTAAATAAGTTTGTAGTCTTCAAGAGGTTTTCCTACAGCAATAAGGGAATCAGATATAGTTTTGGCTTGGAGAAGATAGTTTGAAATAGAGAGGTATGTTGGTTTCTTGAGGTTATGAAGGCGGTCTTTTAGGTTTTCATTTTGGATGGCCGATGTGGAGCCAAACCTCTTAGCTAGAACATTCCACGTTGTAGGGGCAGTGTCACAGGAGTTCCGGTATGGTTGAATGGAAGGGGTAACAGTGCCTTTTATCCAGCAGCAAATGAGGTGTGTTGCATTCTTCCATGTGTCATGATCTGGGTTTTCTTTGCCATCGGCTAGGGTCTTGGGGGGTGGTTTTGTGTTGATAACAAACAATAGTTTGTGGGCTCATAGAAGGGTTTTGAAGAGGGCACTCCAGTTTTACATAGTTTTCTTTGGTTAGATGGGTCATGGGTGTGAGCCATGATGGCATTAGGGTTGTAGAAAATATGAATAAAATGAGAATTAGTCATTGCTGATGAACCATAATCGTTAGTCAGGGTTGATTCATATTCCATGATAAAGTTGTGACACAATAAAAGACTGTATAGGGAAGAAAGAAAAAGAACAAGAATGCGTGTGAAATAGATGAAAGGCAAAGTGAAGAAAACCCCAACTATTTTCCCATTAGTTAATATAGACCACTTTATATATAGAAGCTCTACAAGGGTAAAAAAGGAAAAGCACACAAAAAGGCAAATATGCAGCCTTAATTACATGACATAAAAGCTTGATTTGCAAGCCTGCCAAAAATCCTAAAAGTATATACATCAAGATATTTGGTTACTATAATTACGCTTACACACACCACCTTTTTCCGCATTCTGTTTACTCAGATATGATATGATGTTTCGACATACTTTGGTCTTTTGGGTTGTATGATGATGTTTTGAGTTATTGTTTTTATAAAATTAAAAATGAAATTTTTGGGTGTTATTTTTGGGACGTTTCATTATATAATTGCAATACACCATAAACCGTCAAGAGGTCATCCATATTTTCTTTCTAAATCTACATTATGTACAACCTTCTCTTAGTTAGAGTTCCATGGACATTGCTCTCCATATCACTATCGAATCAATGGGAATTGTTCTTCATATCGCTATCTAATGAATGAGCCTGAAGCATTGGATTCTCGTCTTTACAATGTGGTATCTTTTCCTTGGTTAAACAACTAGTATACCTAAAGCAAACCGAAGAACGGAATCCAATCCTTGTAGTAAATTACAAATCTATCCTAGATAGACTTCTTGTCCCCAAAGCTATGTTAAGACGGATATCAACCTTTAGCGGTTGCCTTTCACCATAATAAAGTGCACAAATTTGATCCTTCATGTAGATTTTCTGAAAATTTTACAATATCTGTTACAGAAAGTTAGACATAGAATTTCTTGGGTTTCATGAATCTGGAAACCATGGAGTAAACTATTTTGTTGAATTTCTTTGGATTATCTTTTTAAATGTATTTTAGCATCTAAATGTGGGAATTTGTCGGAATTCAATTTTGATTCCTATAAAATCCCACAAAATACAACGAACAAAAGACAACTAAAACTTTAGAACCTAATGCATTCTAGGTTTCATCCGTTAGACATGGATTTCATTATTTCATTTCATTACTTGGTTTCTCCACTTGAAATACTAGTAATTACAACAATTATAACATGCAATTAAAAAAAGTTCTCGAATCACAACCTATGCTAGTTTACAATAAAAATACATATCTTGACAAGAAACCATGCAATATTCATCACAAATATATCGGCTATATTTTTTTTATTTGACAATAACTTCATTTTATTGTTACCATAATGGCCGCTTGAGAAAATAAGCATCCATATCTCCCACCACAGCACAAAGCAAGTCTAAATATGGTGTTGGATCGGGTATATTTGCATTCGCCTTCTCGAATTCCATAGTCCAAATAACTAACTTCTTATGCCCCATATCTTCAATATTAACCGTAAGGATTATGGGATTATACACCTCCAACACGCCTCCTTCAATCACCTTGAACACAATTTTGTGTAATTCATCATCAACTTCTTCAACCATTTCTTTTGCACTTTCCACTTTTCCATCTAGGGAAAAACCATAATTAGTGTGTACATACATATATACATAAATAAATACACACACACACCACAACATATATATATATATTATATATATATATATATATATATATTATATATATATATATATATATATATATATATAATATAATATATATATATATCTGTGTGTGTGTGTCGATCACACATAGAACAAATTTTCATGTTGAATTATCATAGATGAAATAGTTTATCATGGATGAAGCGCCAGAGAATGACAGATCCAGGAGCACCCCATTGACCAGAAACTAAATCACAACCTTGAACCTTATCAGGGGCGATGACAGCAGAGTTGTTTGGTTTGTGCTTGTAGATTTCATAGACCAAGTTAATATCACTTTTGATTTCAACTTCACGAACTAACTTACCTATTTTAGCCATGTTTTTTTTTATTGTGAGCCTATAGCTAGCTTGTTGTCCCCTCTAGTAGTTGAACAACCAATGGTGAAGCATTTATAAATGGAAGTTCAGCATGTTTTGGCCATCTTTATGGTTATTTCCAGTTGTGTTTTGGGCATCTTTGTATGGTTATTTCCACTTGCAGTTGTGCATCTTCAAAGTTTGCATGCCATGGGAATTTTAATGGAACATTATTATACCACTTTCACTGTCCATGAGACCAATACCAATAGATGGGTATAGCATCACCGATAATGCATCAAGGACTGGACCAGCCCTCAGATGTGCATATTTCTAAAAGAAATTGGTACCTTTTAGAGTAAAAATTATGAAATTCTTATAGTAGTTGCTAAGTCGAATATTTTCCATAATAGGCATTACAAATAAGAATATATACGATGATGGTCATGGGCCGATACATACAAATACATGTAAAGGATAGTGGGCCTAACTATACAAATACAAATATATACATACACTGATACACATGTCCGCTAACGGTAGTTTTTTTTCATAGTGGCACCTGTTTCAATCCATGACAATTAAACATCTTATTTTTAAGACAAAACATAGTTCTAAACCCTGATGTGGGCTATTATTATTGTGTGGAAGTATTAAAGAATGCTCGGATGTTTCCTAAACAAATATGAGATGTTTTGAACAATATTAGACCGTTCATAAAAAGTTGTTTGATCAAGTACAAAAATGGTCCCTAACCGTTACATAAAATTGCAAGATTGGTCTGTAATTTTGAGATTTTCCCGAGGAATTCCCTACATTTAATTTCTATTTCAGACCTGGGCGCTCTCCACAATCTCTCCATTGCGTTTTAGATCCTCACCGGGCAATGTAGTAATGTACATGAGAGTACATTTGATATGCACTTATACATTATATTGCCAAAAGTCTAAAATATAAATACAACCCTCGAACCACTATTGAAAATGAAAGTCCGGTTGTGGGGAGTGGTCATAACCAAGCCATCGTAAAAGCACTGTCAACTCAACGTTACGTCAGCTCCACCACCAACTCATTAGACACTGAAAATGGTTACCACTCCACAATATTCATTTTTTTATTTTTTAACACTAAATTAAATAAAAAACATAATTTAAAACATCATAAAATATTTTACATTACATTAATTAAAAAACATAGAAAATTAAAACTAAAAAAATAGAAAATTAAAGCTAAATTACTAAAAAACATAGAAAATTAAACATAAATTACTAAAAAAACATAAAAAAAACATAGAATTTAGTTGCGATATTTTTCGAGAACTTGTTGAATTTTTAAAAACGCGCTTAAATTTTTCGGGTTGAGATCCGGTTGCGGCTTCGTGTTTAAAATTTGAAGACCGGTGAGTACCATTTTTCGCCGACGAGCTTCCTCCGTTGATTAAAAAAAAATCTAAAAAACTTAGGGTTTTGTCTATTTTGTCCGCTTGAAAACGGTCGTTTTCTCGCTTTGTCCCTTTCCGGTGGTCGACGAAGTTGGACGTCCGGTGGACCCTCCTCTTCGGTGGCGTCGAACTCATCATTTAGGTCGAGGCTAACACCAATGTCCGACTCCGAAGTTTTTGCCCTTTTGTCGGAGTCGGTGGTAGATCCTAAATGCGTCATATCCGGATAGAGAACCTATTTTGGACCATTACGACAAACTTCTCACGCTTTTTTGTTGCCGAATGGTTTACCATTGTTGGTAATATTATAGTCGTACAACGCGGTTGGTAAAATTGTTGGTAATTTTGAGAATAGAGTGTTTTTTGTAGTGTAAAATGTTAGTAAAATAATGGGTATTTACATTGTAGTTTATACGTTTTTATATTTAAAAAAGATTTATTTATTTATTTATTTTTTAATTTGTAATGGTAAGAATTTGGTCAAAATGGCCGTTGCCAACTTTCCCATTCTCCCATTGGACATCTCCTTTCGTCTTCGGACTCACGCCACAACCAGAACACCGGCCCTAGGGGCGGTGTTCACGCGTCTCCACCGGTGCCAAGTCAGCATCACGTGTGGGTTTCCTATCCCACTCCGGGCAGCCTAACAACGGATATAAGAAGCCGAGCACATTCTTTGAAGAAGGATTGATGTTAAACTATAAAAATACACAATAACAATAGTAAAAAAGTTGATCAGATTTATAGTCAACAAGAAATTATTATGTTTTTACTTTTAATATGTGCATCCTTGCACCCGAAACCCACCATAGTGAGGAATCACGTGTGATGGACCTCGTGACTCGTGTGATTCCCTCCTTTCTGTAGAACCTTGACCCTGCTCCTTTCGTTTCCATATCCTCGGGATCAAATCCGTCTTTTTGTTCTCCATAGGAAAATTTCGGACTTGTAAAGTTTCTGGTTTTGGACATTTGGTGAGAAGTTATTTGAAGAGATTCGTTGGTTTTAAGGTGAATGATCCAATCCAGAAAGGTTCATCTTCCACTCATCTAATTGGTTTAAATGATTGACAATACTGTCGTTCACTGTTTGCTTGATTGCTAGCCCTCTCATTTGGTTTTTAACCGGTTAACACTTCGTCAGTGTTAAGAAGTTTCTCTCTGGTAAGCGACACTACATATAAAATCGGTTTCGGTGAGTTTGATTCCTGGAGAGTCTATTCTTGTCCACATGGACAGGTGTTAGTTTGATGGGAATCCGTGATTATGATTCCTGGAGAGTCTACTCTTGTGAGTTTGATTCTTGCCCATATCTTCAGTGACATTTAATGATTTAACGCTTTAAAGGTCATGCTGATCAAAACCTTAAAAAGCAAAATAAAAGTCTTTAACCATTCCATAGTTTTATACATTACTTAAACCATTCCGAAGTCTTAAACTTATAGAAAAGCATAAACACCAAACGTGACTATCAAAAGTAAGTTACACCAAACGTGACTATCAAAAGTAAGTTTGTTTTTTTAAAAAAACCTCTTCAAACCACTTTCTGCTGCGTGGCGCAACACACGCGCAACACTTTCTCTCTCGCAGCAGTTTGTTTTTTGGAAGACTTCAGACTGCAAAACCTCTGCGCGTGTGCTACGTGGCGCAGCACTTGACATGCCTCTTCAAAGCTCTTCAGCTTTCATTTTTTTGAAATGTTTTTTTAGAATTTTGGTATATCTTATTTTTTTTAACTTTTATTTTTTTAAAAACTTAGATTTTTTAAACTTTTATTTACGGATTTGATACAATTTCTTATTATATTTTTCACAATTTTTTTTAACTTCATTTTTAAAAAAAAAAAAAACTTTAATTTTTTTTTAATTTTTTTTACCGTTTCTGTTAATAATATTTTCAGTTTCAATTTCATATTTTTAGGCGTGTGTAATTTTTTACGAAACTTTGTTGACATCGTTTGCAATTCTTTCTTAATTTTTTTTTATTAATTTCTTTTTTATGTTTTTTAAAATTAGTTTTTTTCTACAATAAAGTTGTTAGCTTTTTTTATATTTTTGTAAGTTTTTTTTAAAAAAGTTTTATATTTTTGTTTTTTTACATGTTCTTTTTAGTATCCCTTCAATGTTTTAAGACTATAATTATTTAAATTTCGGTGTTGAAAACTATTTTCAGTTTATAAAATTAGTTTATTCAAAATTTTAGTTTACTGCAGCAGTCTACAGATGTTAAAAAACAAACATGCTTCTTATTATGGGTTGCAGCCGTTTGTTCCACCTCTTCTGCTACAGAGGATTGCAGAGGTGGTCCGCAGACTTCACGAATTTTCGCTTCGAAAAAACAAACATCACCTTAGTTTCAAAATTAAAGCAAAAGATGAAACAATTCCCACACAAGTAACTGAAAATATACCATAACACCATGTTAGTATACAATACAAATGCATATCTACACAAGCGTTAATATTTATAAACACACCAGCTGACATTTATTTATTGGACAATAACTTCCCTTTAACACCATAACACCAAGCAAGTCGCTGTTGGAGCTGATAATGTCAGCGCCATTTATTTAGTGAATATATCGGCGACATCATGTTTACCTGAGAAAATGAGAATCCATATTTCCAACTATTCCACAAACCACGTCCAGATACGATGTTGGATCTAGTATACTTGCGTTCGCTTTTTCAAACTCTATAGTCCAGATCACAAACTTCTTATCGCCGACATCTTTGGTCATAAAGGTGAAACTAATGGAATTATACACCTCCAAGATATCTCCTTCAATCATTTTGAACACAATTTTGTGTAATTCATCATCAATTTCTTCAATGATTTCTTTAGCAGTTTCCTTTTTTCCATCTACAGAAAACCCATAAGTAGTTTGTATATATTTACATGCATAGATGTGTATGTGTGTGTCGTGTGGTATAGATCCAACATATAACAAGTTTTTATATTCAATTAGCACGGATGAAGTGGTTTACCATGGTAGTAGTGCCACTGAATGACAGCTCCAGGAACACTCCATTCACCAGAAACCATATGGCAAGATTCAATCCTCTCAGGGTCGACGTCTGACGTGTCGTGTGGCCTGTGCTTGGAGAGTTCAAAGACCAGGTGACAATGACATTTGATTTCAACTTCACCTCATATCTTTCCTGTTATAGCCATCTATTTTTTCTTACGAGCACTATAAGTAGCTAGTTGTCCTCTCTAATGGTAGTACTTGAACAAATAATGCATAAGGCACTTATATAATGGATGTTGCGCGTGTTTTTCTACATGTAATAGTGATTGTATGCTTATACATCTTGAAGCTATACATGACATTGAAATTTTAACAAAAATTTATATACCACTTACACTGTGAGACCAATACTAACATATGGCCATACTATTACCTATAAAGGACTAATTTGTCCGGGAAAGGTTTTAGAGAACAACACTGAAAAATACGGCCTTCGATACCGATGAGCATATTCCTTAAATATTAGGTAGGCTTTTAGTAAAAAGTATGAATTTTTTACGATAGTTTTTATCATACTACTATTAGTAGCACCTTTTGTTGGAAAATTAATTTTATTAATTTCCAAAAATGGATTTTCTCCATTTTTGAGCACAAATTTTGGACTCTAAATATAATCAAAACGAGTTATTGATTATATATTCGTGTTCTCCTCCGTGATATCTTCGTTTTGATATATCACATGGCCAAAACGAATTAAAAATGAATGAGAAACTACTTGTCAAAGTAGGGCAATTGGAAGAGAAAATAAAGGAGTTAAGTGAGTTTTAAAACTCATCCCACATTGGTGAGAGAATGAAAAGGAAATTGGTTTATAACTACAAAGACTAGCTATCTTCGTAAGACTTATTAGAACTAAGGCTCTCTCTTGCGCCCGCACGTAAGGGGGTGCAAATGCGAGCCAAATTGGCTTCGGGCCACTGAACTTGTGTGCGGGCACAAACGCACCACCGGTCAACGAGAAAAGTTCAATGACCTTTTTTTTCCTTTTGGTTAACAGTTACAAAAACGAATTAAGAGCAATTAATCATAGATTTCGGTTTTGATTTCTTGATTAATTTTCTTATTTAATTGTGACAGTTACGATTTCGTTTTAATTACATCGGTTACATTGGGTAGTATATATACAACGCCTATGTGACTGATTCAAGACACCGGATGAAACGAAATCACTCTCTTCCTCTCTTACGCTTCTGCTTTATCTTTTCTCTCTTGCTGCAACAAGGTATAATTCGGGCCAAGTGAGGGTTTGGGCAATCTAGAAGAATTGTTTTCTACTGTTGTATCTTGGGAAACAAACACCCATATAGGGCGAATTTGTTTTAAGAAAATTGTGTTAAACATAAGCCCCAATCAATAATTTTAGAGTTTTGTTCTTTCGTACAATTTTTGGGTTATATTTTCCTAACACCTTTATCTCAGGCCAATGGCAAGCACTATTATAATAATGGCACATATTTCAGCCCAAGGACTAGACAAAAGTGCCCCAAGACCAAAGAACTATAAGTCCTCCTACATGAGATGCATGCCGAGGGTATGAGGTTTAATGAGCCTTTTTCTGTTGCTTCCATGATTGAGAAGCTACCCCCTAGTTGGGTTTTATTTCAAGAATTACTTGAAACATAAGAGAAAAGAGATGTCCATGAAGACCTTATTGTTCGCCTTCGAATTGAAGAGGACAATAAGCTAGCACAAAAGAGTAGTTATACCCTTACTTCTGAGAAAGCTAATGTGGCGGAGCATGGCCAAACTCTAGGAAGAACAAATCTAGAAGGGAAATGATGAAAAAGCACTATATTTTGCCAAAAATTCGGTTTAACCATCAGCTTTTAATAATTTATGAAAAAACCACCAATTTTTAGTAAAATGTTTC